TGAATTAAGGTGTGTTTCTTGTACACACAGCACTTTTGGTGAGTGTTCGTGTAAGAGTTCTTGGATGTCGTCAAGGTTTCTGAGAAGGCCTCTGACGTTCCATTGTATAATTTGAGTGTTCATGGTGAATGTAAAATAATGCTGTGTGTACGAAAAGCGAGTGGCTGTTTAGACGGGGAGTTTGAGTTCACTTAACAGGGCCGTCACCAGGCCCTGTTATCGGCTTTTTTGTTTTCTTGGCGCGCTCCAAGGAGCCACGCCGCTCTTTCGGCACCAAGGGTACCGACGTATCCATTGCCTCCTCGGAGGCACTGGATGCCCGCACGTGCGGGCTGCTAGTTCGGATTTTGGGCCTCGCCTGGTGAGGGGAGGCCTTGAGACCTGAAGACTCTGGAGTCTCCGGTCTCTGTTTGGGAGTAGGCGGTGTAGCCTGGGCTACAGCCGCCTTGGGGGCAGGTGCCACAACCGCCGGCTCGGTATGCGCGGGCCGGAGGCGTGGCGAAGGCTGGTGCGGCGGTGCCCCCTGACGCGCCGCATCAGCGTATGTAGGTCCATAGAATGGAGCGACTCTTCGCCGTGCTTCCTTAAATGTAATGTTCTCCTTCACCTTCAACGTAATTATTTCTTTTTCTTTTTTCCAGTTAGGACACGAACGCGAATACGCAGCGTGTTCCCCATCACAATCCACGCAGTGAGGCGTAGTAACACAGTTATCAGAGGGGTGGCCGTGGCTACCACATCTTGCACAAGTTTCCTGACCCCGGCAGTTCTGCGATCCATGACCAAATCGTTGACATTTATAACATCGTCTTCGATTGGGAATGTAGGGACGGACAGAGAGTTTGATGTAGCCTGTGTCTATAGATGAAGGCAGTGTGCTAGATGCAAAAGTGAGTATTAAATGTTTGGTAGGTATTTCTTTGTTGTCGCGTCTGATGACGATTCATTTCACATCCGTGACATTTTGCTCTTTCCACCCTTCAAGCAGTTCCTGTTCAGACATTTCAAAAAGGTCTGCTTCTGAAACAACTCCACGTGAGGTGTTCATTGATCTATGAGGTGAAACAGATACTGGGATATTACCAAATGCTACGAGACTGCCAAGTTTTTCATAGTGGTGTTTTTCAGGCAGCTCAAGGAGAAGGTCTCCGCTAGCCATCTTTGTAACCTTGTATCCTGGGCCAAAGAGCTCAGTCAGAGATTTAGCAACAAGAAATGGAGATATGGCTCTGGTTTGTTTTGCTGGCTTTTCGCTGTGCACTACATGGAATTTTGGAAAGCATTGTCTAGGTTGGCTGAAAATTGATATTTCATCGGTGCGTCCCCTCTTAAGCGGAAGACGATCTAAGAGATGGGGAAATGCAGGTGTTCCCATAGTAGTGTACTTTTTTTTCGGCAGCAATGGCGACCACCAACCATGGAGTCCAACCAGGGGACGCTGAAGCACTTAATAGCATAAGGCTGCAGACGCCAGCCGTACATTGCCACAATAACCAAATATAACTACTCAAGGTTGAGTAATTACACAAGGTTAACCCTTGCCGCCAGGAAAAATCGGAAGTAAATGGAAGAGAGAAGAAAACAGGATAGATTTAAAGACGAGAAAAGACTAAGATGTAGGAAAAGAGAGATAGGAAAAGGCGACTGCCGATTTCCCCTGGATCGGTCAGCCCAGGGGTGCCGTCTACGTGAAGCCGGGGTCAAAGGGGTGTGTTGCCTCTGCCGGGGGGCCTTAAAGGTCCAATCACCCAGCGTCGGCTCAACCCCCAGGATCCCCTTTTCCCCGGACACGGCCAAACCACGCACGACTAGGTGTGGGAGGGAGTCAAAACTCTCCTGTTAGCTCGGGTCCGTGGTGTCGCTACACACCAAACGCCTACTTGCGCAGGCGCCCCTGCGGGCCAAAAATGACAAATGTATGATACTGGTGCAAACATGATAAGCATAAGATGCGTGTCACGTAACGACATGACTACATGCCACACACATGATGCACTCGCGTCCGTCTCGCTAGCTTCACAAATGCCAAATTCGGTATTATTATCATTATCATCATCATCATCATCATCATCATCAGCCTGACTACGTCCACTGCAGGACAAAGGCCTCTCCCATGTTCCGCCAGTTAACCCGGTCCTGTGCTTGCTGCTGCCAATTTATACCCGCAAACTTCTTAATCTCATCTGCCCACCTAACCTTCTGTCTCCCCCTAACCTGCTTCCCTTCTTTGGGAATCCAGTCAGTTACCCTTAATGACCAGCGGTTATCCTGTCTACGCGCTACATGCCCTGCCCATGTCCATTTCTTCTTCTTGATTTCAGCTATGATATCCTTAACCCCCGTTTGTTCCCTAATCCACTCTGCTCTCTTCTTGTCTCTTAAGGTTACACCGACCATTTTTCTTTCCATTGCTCGTTGCGTCGTCCTCAATTTAAGCTGAACACTCTTTGTAATTCGGTATTATGTGACGCTAATGGATGACGAAGGTATGTGACTGGTGCAAACATAATAATCATGAGATTCGTGTAATGTGAGAACATGACTACATGCCACAGTCAAGGCGCCAATACATTTAGCCATGACGTGGTACGCGTGCTCGCCGGCGTTCATTTCGTTGTGTCACGCTGGCATTGCCACGGCAGGCGCCGGTCCTGCCACATGCTCGCAGGCGTGCGCCACGCCGCGTTGCTTTGACGCATGTGGGTTTAAGCGCGTCCGGCGTCCCTCTGTCACTAAAAGAGGGAGAAGCAGTGTTGTCTGGGCAATGCTTCGGCATAGAGTAATGTTATTCTATGGCATAGGCACGAAAAGCAGCATGTTGCATTTCGCGCCGGCTGCCGTCAGGCCACGTCGACAGACGCTGGTAGCGCCTGGCGTCAGACTTTAGAGCGAATGCATTTCGTTAACGTAGCGTCGCTGTGCCCAGCGAGCGCGTGCGTCAACGCTATATACATTGGAGTATACAAAGCCCTTCATGACGCGCTCACGGCCGTTTCGCTAGCTCCACATATACCAAATTTGGTGTTACGTGACGTCAATGGATGACGAAATATATAACTGGTGCAAACATGATATTTCTGACATGCGTGTCATGTAAGAACATGAGAACTTACCACGCTCATAGCATGCTAGCTCTACATATACTAAATTTGGTATCACGTGATGTGAATAGATGACGAAGATACGTTTACGTTCAAACCTGATAATCGTGACACAGAAGTCATATATGGCATCTTTTACCTCCACTTCGTAACGTTTCCTCCACCCCGTGGATCGTAACGTTACCTCCACCCCGTAAACTGACATATCAACATTTCTCACTCATGCTTCGCATATCATCGATTCCCACTGTATGTGGTATCTGCCAATTTTTTTTTTTTCCAGGTTTTCTTTCACCCACAGAGCCAGTAAGACTAGCAACAACAGTAATTTTAGGGCAGCAAAAAGGGTAAGCATGCAACCCAAGGTGAACAAAGAACAAAAGGGAAGCAAAAGAGCGTCTTTGCAACTAGCGTAGTTGCAGGCCACTTTTCCCTGTCCTCTTGTTTTTACAGCGAAAGCTGTATTTGGCGAGGAGAAACAAAAAAATGTCCGTCAGAGATGTCACAAGCAGTCTCCATTGGCGGCGTTATCACTTACATCATTCGCGGCGTCATTGATTGGGTGATTTGTGGGGTTTAATGTCCCAAAACCACCATATGATTATGACAGACGCCGTAGTGGAGGGCTCTGGAAGTTTCGACCACCTGGGGTTCTTTAATTTGCACCCAAATCTGAGCACACGGGCCCACAACATTTCCACCTCCATGAAAAATGGAGCTGGTGCAGCCGAGATTCGCTCCCGCTTCCTGTGGGTCAGCAGCCGAGTACCTTAGCCACTAGACCTATTCGGCGGGGCATTCGCAGCGTCATACGAAGCATGCGCGCCATTGGGTGCGTTGTGAGTGATGTTGCCCGTCCCGCCGCAGCCGTGATGCTAAGCATGCTCGCATCAGTTTCTCCTGAAACCTTCCACATGGGCATGCCACCGACAACTCTTGAAGAGCCCTGGCAGGGGAAACGAAGGAGAGCTCGTATTCTCCGAATCAATGGTGCAGTTGGAGCACGAAAACAGATCAGGAAGGCCAAGTGCCGGCAACAGCTGCGTACCGGTGATTCCGCAGCCTTCGAAGCGATGCTAAACTGCAAACGAGAATGCAAGCGCTCGCTCATGGCGGGCGGATCCTGCAGACCAAGCTGCCGAGTTAGCTCACGATGTCAAACGCTTGCAACAACACGGTGTTACAACGTCAATGTGATGATTGCGAGAACGCGTTCTCCAGAATTTTCTCCGATTTCGGCAGGAGTTTCTTCAGCACATCGGCTTCGGTTGCAACATTTGCGAACGCTTGTGGTTCGAGAACAACCACTGTGATAAACACATTGCGAAAAGCATTTAACCACTCATTACACTTTTCGATGAGGACATGAAATTTAACCGCTCATTACACTGAGCGGTAAAAGCATTTAACCGCTCATTACACTCTTCCATGCACTGTGGTAAACCCAAGCCAAATGTGTGTCTAACCTCATTAGGAAGCACGAATATGTGAACAATAATTGTGAAAGGCTCTAGTACCACGTCAGGTTGAACCCACTGCTAAACATCGGAGCCGCTCGTTCCAGCTTCTGCTGGTTAAACGTTTAAATGGAGTGCTTGGGTGCTGATTTTTTCCTTTACCTTAAGTTGCATTCTCAGCATTTTGCTCAGCACGAACCAGCTAGCCCAAGAACATGTCTTATTAGCTACATTTTAGGGCAGCAAGCACTGTACGTATTTGCAACGGATTTCGCGTATGTAAGAACACTGCATTTTGCACAGTGTGCATGAGCAGACGCTCTGCGCACAAGCTTTATACAAAAAGCAGCATTTTCACGTACACAATGTCAAGACAGACGCATCATACAAGCAGTGAAACATTCTAATGACTGCAGTATTCCGAGATTTAGCCATAACTCACGTCACGGAGATATTCAGCGTGGTGACGGGTGGCAACAAATATGAAGGTGAGCTCATCCGGTTTGATGACATGCTTGAGCAGGTGCAGCAGGATGGCTGTCTTGTCATTGTTGCGGCACATCACGTACACTGTCTGCACAGGGCGAGTAAAAATGAGAGAAGCTCTTGAAACAACAGCTGATGCAATGACACTTTATACAGATACATATGAACACTGTATAGCAGGTTCCACAGATGCAACATGTCAAATCGCCTATCACCCAGCACTTCCTTGGATATAGCACAGCCTTAACGGCTACAGAAGTATAGTTATTGAGATAACAATACCCCACTTTGCGTACCAGCAGCAGCCGCGTTTGGGCAATGAAAGAAATCTCAAAGGCTATGCTTTATTAAGTAGCGCACAATGGATCATTGTAGAGTAGCAAATTAGGGGGTGTGCGAATATTCAAAATTTCAAATATTTTTCTAATAGCACTTGCTATTCGATTCAATTTTCACAGGAATTTTACTACTCAAACTTTCCAAAGACAAATACACTCAATGTTCGATTGAAAGTGGCCCTTTCAGGTTTTCAATATGTTTCACCTCACACCCGTATTGCAGCAAAGCTTCCTTTCGGCTCTGTTATGGTCGCAATTGTGTTAACTCTGGAATACGCTAGTTCCGACATAGAGATGATAAATGTGGCAGAGGTGGGGGCTAAATTGATGCTGTTTTGGATGTGAAATTTGACCAGTAGTCTGAAAGACCAAACGCCTAAGATTTCTAGCATCGAAGATTTCAGATGTTCCTTTATATTGAAGTCTACGAGGCAGATTTGAAAATCAGGACTTGAAGGGACAACACCATTGTCCGCCACATCAATTAGTCTTCTACAGAAGTTGAAAGAAGAGGACAGGCTGAGAAAATAGTATCAGCCTTTCACATGCAAAATGCACTCGGCAAAACTTTGCTTGCACCAAATCATGAGCGTAAACGCAATTAACACTCTGCTGTGTTGCCTCATTCTTGTTAGGACAACTATGAAACACAACCTTGCCTGCGATTTTTCAACCAAGCATATAAGAATATGCTTAGGAATCCTGTCCAACCATTTTCTGCCATTGCATTTTGAAGTATTCGAAAAATATTCTAGAAACAGTCGATTAGATTCACACTCACACTTAAATATCTGAATTTGTTTTGCATCTAAAATTTTTCTATTTTCATGGCTAGAATGGCTTTTTCAGCATGACCGAGCAATTGCAGTTTCGCCTTCTTAAGAATTTTTGCTCTGTGGCTCCACCATAAGTACTTTAGATTACTGTAAAAAACAAACCCTTTGCCTTTGCACAGAACAGTCACTATGTTAGTGACTACAATAATTTTTTGAAGGCCGACTTTTTCACTGTTGATTCAAATTCTTCGAGCGAACCTATTTTAGAGAAAAGGTCGTAATTTTTTTTCGGTGACCATAAAGTGACAAAAAAGTTGTTTGGATTGTTACACACATATGGTTTATTCATGAGCAACAGCAAGAGAGAAAAAAAAACAAAAAAACTACACAACTGCTAAATAGTTGTGCTTTGCAATAAAACTACAGTGCAGTTCACAGACATACAAAAATAAGTGCACGAAGTGGCATCAAGTGGAAACACTGAAGAAGAAAATCCACTTTTGATCCAGTCAGCATTTTTACGCCATGCATGCTTTTGAGATGTAACTCGCTCATCTAGATTGGAGTGTAAACTCGTCAGTAACTCCTCATAATATGGGCAGACATTTACCGAATCAGACTCTGATTCAGCAATGAATTGCCGCTAGACCCACTTGTGGCTGGGAAACTGGCATACAAATCCACAGTGCAAGCAAACTGCACAGGTGAATGCACTGAAGAAAACTATGTAGTTGTGAGTGCGTCCACAAAGCAAAAAGACCTCCAAAACCTACAATGATCATTCGTCTTATCGCTAACAAGAGGAAGCAATTTTTGCAAGTCTTCGAACAGGAAACGGGAAACGCAAAAACAGCAGCATTGTTTACGTCAGTCAGTGCCTCCATGAAAACAAGTGAAATTGTGTACCGAGAAACAATGAATGAGAAAGTTACAAAGAGTAAAAACTGGTCATCTTTTGAAAAATTCTAAATGAGAAAGCTATCAGTTTCGCGGGCACATTAAGCGCGAATGGGCCGATGGACGAAACTGAAGCTAGGCAGTGCTAGAAAAAAATTCGATGTATTCCCACAGTGTGGCGGCACATTCCAAGCAAAAGAAATGATCGGAAAAGGGCGCGTGCTTTAAAAATACAGGCAATGATGTAGTTTTGTGTCTATGACCCTCACAAGGTTAAAAATGTGATACCTTTAGCTGCTCACTGAGCTTGTCTTCTACATCGAGGCGGATGAGCACAGGCTCAGACAGGCCTGCCCTGGCAAAGTCTACCAGCAGTCGAGGCAGAGTGGCCGAGAAGAGAAGCGTCTGACGACCCTCGGGCAATCGGTGGAGGACCTCGGTCAGCTGCTCCTGGAAACCCATCTCGAAGAGCCTGTGCATATATAAGCACAGAAAAAACATTGAAATATGGCACACAGTATAAAAATGCTGACAAATGCGTAAGCACACTTGCTTTTGATTGGTTGGGTGCCCATAACTCATGCACAGTACCAAGACAATTCATGAGTACGGATCTTTATTATTCAAACATGCTAAATCCTGTCATTGTACTGTTTGTTTCCACACGCTAAGTGCATAATTGTGTCCAGAACTTTACCTTGCATTCCAAGTCCCAAAGGTACAGTTCCTTTGTGGCATTGCAACCAAGTCTCTTCAATGTGGCACTTCAATCCATCTTCAGGCAAACAGTGACGAGAGAGATTGTGTTGGAGGGCCTTGTTGCCACCCTCGTTGTCTTCGCACCCTGCCCTTGTTACGCAGCCAAGATGCCCTGTTCCCTCCTTCCACTTCTGTTTGTGATTACTCGACTCCGCCTGAGAACGAGCATCGCTTTCTCGGGGGCCTCCGTATCTTTAATCTTGGGAGGTGTGGCTGGCTTCATCTCAACCAAGCCGGGAGCACCACTACCAATGTCAACCTTTGTAGCACACTGGCTATAGTGCGTGGCTATGGCTATGGCAGATTTGTATCTGAGGTGGATAAACTCGAAGTCAGTGAATATGCGAACTTGCCAAAATTAATGGCTTACTATATAAATAAATTTGCACTAGAATTTTACTACTCAAATATCACAACTTCTAGAAAATAAACCTAATGGTTTACAATAACAGCCAATAAATACAGTCGATCCCGGATATATTGAACTCGAAGAGTACCGCGAAATAGTTCGATATATTGATAATTCAAAATATCAAATATGTGCATGTAAGGCCTAAATTAAAGCATTTCAGGCCTCGTAAATCGTTATAAGCTTTAACATACCGATTCGCTCAAAGTGTAATGAAGAACAAGGTGTGAACTGTAAGTCACCACACTTTATTTTGTAATATAGTCCGTAAGGCAGTTTTGATTCTTGCGTGCCATCAGGTTCCGGTCATCCTCAATATCATTGAAGCTTTTAAAATAAGCGAATTCAGCTCCTTCATCCACAACAGCATTGATTAACAGACAACGTCCATGTAAGCTTTGTAGCACAGCCAAAAGTTTGTCAGCAGCTGTAACGAAGGCGTTGGCACATTCATAATCACACGAGCACACTTCCTTCCGTGGCACTGGCAATGGCAGCTATGATCTCAGCATCAATGCAGTCGGAAACAGCTACGTTGTCATCTGCACCGATTAAGTCGCTCACTGTCCGAGATGGTGCCAGAAAACACTGATAAGTCGCAGAATTCAATGAGGCACTGCACGCTGTTGCCAGTCGTCGTGAAGAACCCAATGTCTTCACCTGGCCCGCAAGGAAAGTTTACGACAGTGCTTTACTTGACAACGCTCCAAGCGCCAGTCATAAATTTTATCGCTATGTGCGAGCCAACGTTCTGTTCAACTCCCGAATGAGGATTTATCAGAAACGAGGCGAGAAGTATAGAAGTCCACAAAGCGTAAAAGACAACACCGAGTTAGGAGAGCTCTTATCGTCGTCATGTTGGCAATATCAATGCCACTTATGCCTTTGTAGCTGGCAGCTACTGCTTTCAGCTGCTTTGATGAGAAAAGCTATAGAAAGCATGGCCTCCAAGACACGCAATTTAAAACCAGAAACACTTGAAATATATCACAAGGTTGCACATCTCGAAAGTCATGCTTTTTAGGCTCGCATGACTGTCGCACGCCATTGTGCGCAAAAAAATAAGGAAAGGAATGCAAGCATTGCAGTGAGACCGCCAAGTCACTTCCCTTTCTCATTTTGGTGTACTTGGCAATCAGTGTTATTGAAAAACACTACGTCCGTGCGTTAGGACCTGCAGATCACACATCAAACATACCGGTGCACTCGCAAGCGCCCTGCAATGAACCAGACTAACGCAATGGAATAACATGGCCTTTTCGTCACCTGTGCACGAAAAGAGATCGGAACGTGTTAGAACGCAGCCAAAAATTGATCCATATTTGCCAGGAAAAAGGAATTTCCAGGGCTTCGGCACGGCGAAATGTTAAATATAGATGTCCGGCTGTGTGCGAGTTCGATATACGAATGCATCGGTCTCATACTTTTGCAAGGGCAATTTTCAAGGGCATTTTTCAACTGTTCGATATAGCTAATAATTTGGTATATTTGAGTTTGATATAACCGGGATCGACTGTATAATGACAATAAATCAACATTAAAGATGCTCGCTCTTGAGTTTTGGAATACAGGTGTGCCAAACTGCTAGTCGATGCTTCGAGCAGTTTCTGCGCAATGGGCTTGGATGAGGGTCTACTGCTGATGCGTAAAATGCCTATTCATGGTTCTGAGGAGCCAGCGGACAACATCGTTCGTTGCTTGTGATGAAGCACATTGCGCCTTCATCTCTTGTGCATGATCCGCTAGCACGATGTTCTCACCCGCAAAGATCGAATTTGTCTCGTGCATTGCTGCTGTGAGCAGAATGAGGCATAGCCATGACTTCAAGCGATAAGCTATGTCACGGTGCGCGCCCGACGTTTTGAAATACGTTATGCTCGATCATGAGTACATAGAGCACTCACATGATAGCATTCTTCATGAGATCTAAATGCTGATAAGCAGAATCTCTAAGAGGGTCCCATGAGCCTAGCAGAAGCGTATTTCTGGTACTCGCAACGAGTACGGCGCACTGTCATAATCTGAGGTTCTACATGTGGCGGCCAAGCTGAAGCGTAATTTTATTTTAAGTGAACGTCGACCCCTGAACACCGAACGAGTGAAAACAGGTCACTTTAGACAGCCATGACTTCGCATCGTGTAAACAGCCGACAACGCTCTCTCGGAGCGAGCAATGGCGAGGCGCCCTGGAGCAATGTGGCGGATGCACCCAATGGGAGGTTCAGTAACGAACTTTAAACATTAGCTTTTTCTATGCCTGTTTCTGAATAGAGGACCTAGCTGAAGTGGATGGAGGAATGCTCTTTCTAACGAGCCTAAAATGACGGCACCAAGTTACGATGTTGAAGAGATATATTTTTTAGAAAATGAATGAAAAATAATTAGGCACCTTTGGCAACATTTTTTTTCACTTTGAAGTATTAGAAAAATATTTTAGAACTATTTAATTCACACTCGAACTTTATCATTCGAATTCATTTCATAACCGAAATTTTGCTATTTGCACAGCTATAGAATAAACGCCTCCAGTTGAAAGAGAGAGAGAGAGTAATAATAAAAGGAAGAGACAGGGAGGTTAATCTAGAAGAACTGGTTTGCTACCCTGTACTAGGAAGCGGAAATAAGGGTCAAAACGAAGAAAGAGAGAGAGATAAAAAAAAGACGTCCTTTTCCCTGCTGGCCTGCAACCCACCCTGCTCGCAACTGAACGTGAGCCATAGTGATATGAGGTCAAAGCTCTGAGTGTTAGGGATGCTGCGTTGTATACTAGCAAGACTGACTGTCACTCTGATAGTGCATGGAATGATCCAAATGAGAGACAGGCTGCCTAGAGTAGATTCATTGCATCCTATAACTTTTAAATGTAGCTAGAAGAGCAGGAAATTTCCATCTGAAATATCACAACACGTAATGTCTTGGAATCTGCACCACCCTCTGATTCCATGTCAAGTGCCTACAATTTGCAAAATGCAATATCTGCCATAATATAATTCACTGGCAGCTTATGAAAGAAAGTTATTAATAATGAATTAGTACTGTTTTTACAGCAAAGCTGCATATACAGTAAAACCTCATTGATTATAAGTCACTGGGACCTTGAAAAATTTTTGAATTAGTCAGGCTTTCTAATTAACAGAACATTCATTCAAATCATTCAAAGTAATCAGGGCTGGTTGTTTGTTGTGGCAGCTAGTTTGCAGCTTCAAAGCCTATGTTTACCAGCAATATCAGGTCCTAATTTTGCCGCAAACAGGAAGAAACACTGAGTTTCACCGCTGCCATCACAAGAAAAAAAAAGAAAGCTCACCTTCCCAAAGGGAATCTTGAAGAAATGCGAATGCATTGCTTGATGTTCGTAATGGCAATTCGCACGTGAAAACCAAGTATTAGTAGAACATTGTTTTCTTTTTTTTTTTCTTACACCGTGCAGCCAACAGCGCCGTCCACCGCACGTGACGTTTTTCTGTCGCGAAAAACGCAGTATGGGTTTTCAGCTCTAGTAGCTAGCGAGCACGGTTAAAAAATACTATGAAGTGAACAAAACAATGTTGTTTGAATGAATATTAAATTTTTGAATGAAAACAATTATGTATTTGAACTTGCTTCGAAATTAATATAAATTATTCACAATTTTGGAGTATTTGAAATGAACAACCAGGTGCATATTAATCTATATGTAACGCCACCACCCCCTCTTTCTGTAAAGGTGGTGTCACTGTAGTGGTAGGGTGCTACACTGAAAATACACCCATACAGATAAAACCTGCACTGTCTCGAAGGCCCACTTAGGATTACATGAAAATATTACCCTCACATCAATGTATAATTCATACACAAAAGCTTGTTATATCGGCTTATATGTTGTAAAAGGTCCTATACTTTACATATTATCACTTTCACTCTACAAAAGTCACATTCTGCTACTATTCAAAATTTGGTTCCACTTCCTTTGAATGAAAAAAAAAAATGCCATTTGCACAGCCCTTGTTCAATTTTCAAGAAATATTGGACAGTTTAGTTGGGTCATGAAAATTAGGCTCAGTTCTTTAATAATATGTGATAAAGAATATGTGATATGTACCATTCAAGTTCGATTAAAAATCATCCGACCAAATCATTATTCACTTCGAACCCAAAGTTTACTATTCATGCGAGCCTTGTTTATGGACATTCATTACAGGTGACAGTTGACTTTCAATTATGTTTTCTTTTTTTTCCTGAAACATCTGACGCTTATTAGTTTTTGAAAGTACCGTATTTGCTCGCATAATTTGCACGATTTTGGGGCCCCGAGAAGGGTGTGT